AATCAAATTTGGATCAATGCAATTTATGAATAAATAATTATTTATTTATTAATATAAACCAACTTATAAGAGCTAGACCAGTTAAATTAAAATTACTATATCATAGAAAGACGCCTTAATGCCATGACTCTTCTCTACCAGAGAACTTATAAGAGCCGTGCAAAAAATAGCCAACTTATAAAAAAGATGTTTCTCCAATTTTTAGTTAGTTTTGGCAGTCGTGTTTTTTAATTATTTATTTTTATATCTTTCCTTTTAGCGACCAGTTCCTTTTAGTGAATATATCCTTTTGGATATATTTTTGGAATGTACTTATCATGACCTTTAATTTTTTCATATTTTTTAAATGACGTCATACATCCTCTATATTAAATATAAACGGTGTTACTCGAAGTAGTGTTAGGTTTCTAATGGTACACTATTTATTTATATCCGTTACGTTTTTCAAAATTTATGGTGGAATAAAAAAACTCACATACTTATAACCATAAACAACAATACACTCCTTTTTTGGGAAATACAAAGGTTCAATGGAAATATTTTTGAAGGTGCCTTAGATAAACAATTATTTAATGTATATCTTTTAAATTTTTAAGCTTAAAAATCACTAACGAGACATAACAGACATAAGGATCGACCATAGTCAAATTTACTTAGCGATAAAACTATTATAATTGATGAAAGTTTATAGTTATTAACAACTCGTTTCTAGTTTATGCCTCATCTCTACTGCATCCATTTTAATAGCATATTAATGCTTAGATTATTAATTTATAGTAGGTTTTCATAGCGATGCATATAAAGACAATGGCCATAGTAATATTGCTAAAGTTATGTCGTTAAGTATAATGGCCGCGTCATAAGCTTAATGCAAATTCTTTAGATATTCCGCTACAAAATAATATACATAATTCATAAACAGACTTAGTTATAACTTAGAGGCTATAGTCGATTAATCATTTATCATTCCGACGACATTCATAGTTACTATTTATTTACCCGAAGCTATGCTTAAAAATAATACCGAATTACCGACCTGTGTGCAGAGTGCCGTGTGACCTTCGCCCGCCGCGGGTGACGTGTCTGAGAACCCAGCAAGCCAATTCTAATGTTCACTTAATAATTTCATCTCAATAGAATCTCAACTACGTGCATTTTACCAATACAATATCCACATGAAGTCCATTATTATATGTCTGTCACCGTTGCTGTTTGAGGAAGTTATTGCACTAATAATATTGGTCGGAAAAGATGTTGTCGACCGCGGATTTGCAACGGTCGCGCGTTGTTGGCGTTGAGCAGTTATAGAAACCAGCTACTTATGGAATCATGGTCGCTACAAGGGTTGACTACAGAAAAGAGTCTCCAAAGAGTTAGATCACAAAACAGTTATACGTAAATATGTACAAAAAGGTGTTACTGGTTTTCAATGGTATCTCGACGATCTGCGAAACCTAATTGGACCATTAGGTAGGGAATTTTATTATGTGACAGCGTAAGAATCAATAATACCTATACATGATTAGAACGACCAAAATGTTAGGATAAATATAAATTTTGCATTTTTTATACAAAGTCAAAGTCAAGTCAAGTCAAATATTTTATTAATATTGTTGAAATATTTTAATTAACGAGTAGCTCGGTGGCGTAGTGGATAAGCGGCGTGGCCCGTGATCGTAGTCTTTAAGCAACTTTCGCAAGGGTCGGTCATGGGATGGGTGACCAAAAAAAAAATATTATCTCGAGCTACTCCGTGCTTCAGAAGGCATGTTAAGCCGTTGGTCTCGGCTGCATTTGCAGTCGTTAATACCCTCCAATCCGCATTGGGCCAGCGTGGAGGGTCATGGCCCATCCTCCTTAACCATCCATAAGGAAGGCCTAAGCCCCTGCAGTGGGGACGTAAAAGGGCTGGTCATGATGATGATGATTTAAAATAGACTTATACTATTAGCACTCATGGGGCAGCGGCATTTTGCAATCTCGCTGATAATAATTAAGTCGAATCCAAGGAATCTTATAAGCGTAGGGCGATCCTATGAGTGTCTAATTACTCGGAGTCAGTTATTTGCTAGAAAATTATCTTTGGCTGAGTATTTATATAACGTATTAGTTACTTTCATCATTATATCATAGTTTGTGTCTTTATTTGGTTTTTGCCTGCTCTAGGAACAGACAATAATAATGATAATATTATAATTTAAATAGGAAACTTCAAAGTAGTAGCAAATTAATTCCATTTTCACAGCAATCTAGGAAAGATAATATTTTTCGTCAGTAATCGTACCGAGACCTAGAATTCAGCAGCGTCCAAGGAGGTCCGATACAAGCAATCATAGAGATAAAAATGTTATATTAAATTCTGTATGCGACACTACATTCCAGTATAATAACAGGTTTGATTACTCTCCGTTAATAAAAATACTATTAGCTATGCTATTCTGGTAAAAACAGCTATAAACTCGATGAGTGCAGAGCTGTGTCAGCGTAGAGGTTTGATGAATTAAGCCCTTTATTATTACTGCTACGTTCTACGAGTTTGAGTCGGTTTTTATAACAGAATAACACTGCGGAAAGCTTTGAGTACTTTATCAATTTACTGTTTTTAATTTTTCATGCACAAATTCTAATATTTAAAACTATCAAATATACTTGCGCGAATTCGATCGTCTTCTTCTTTTTCTTTGATATTAATGGTTTATCTGCGTATTTCGCACAATTCTGCCAATGTCAAGCGTATAAATTAATGTCTACATGTAAAATGAAAATGAAATGAATGAAAGATGGCGATAAAAGTCAAAGTAATGGATTAGGGATGCATTTAATGCAGTCTAAAATAGTGATGTTTGCGGTAGTCAATTGTTTTCCCTCTAACTTAAAGTTACAGATTTGTCACTTATGTATATTAGTTATATTGTTCTAACAAATACATATGACTTATAAATTTCCAAAAACTATATGTAAACAAAAAACAATAGGGTTATGTCCCACAAGTAAAATTCTGGTTTCTGTTAACTAAAACTTGAAATAGTAACAAAAAAGTATTACCGATATTTGCTAAAACGCATATTGCATTAAATTAGCAGAAAAATATATTGGCAAAACCGCTTGCAATAAGCTTATTCGAATAAAAGATAATTTCATTCATTAATATCTCTACCGGTTCTTGTGTACAGAATTTTTAAATGTGTCGAGATCTGACTTTCAAACGTGAACCAGAGAGAGCGTCTAATTTATGAATTTATTTCGAGCAAGTGCCTGCGAAATGTATGTGCATTTTTATATTCATACTTAAAATTGTTAACTCAAAAGAATATGAAGCTGTGTGCACCTTATTTAGCTTTTCGTCTATAGTTTAAAAATGTTTAATTCATCAAATACATAAGGGTAACAAAAAAATACTTAATTAAAAATTGGAAATTAATTTTTTCACAGTGTGAAGGTAATATAGACTTAATTTTAGCGCTCTTGGCCTACGATACGGTTATTAAGCAACGTTCACAATAGTCGGTCATAGGATGCATAACTTATGCATTCACGTTTTAGTTTTTATATTATATTATACATATATGGCAGATATTCAAGAAGAGATTCGAACCTTTAACATGCAATTCGTGTGATTACTTTCTAACTATTAAGTAAGCCAAGATTTAATTCATAAAATTATACTCTATAATTTAAAAGCTACAATGAAATATTTCCGTTAAATAATTAGTTATAATATTTTGGTGATACATTTGCAAACCACTCTTTGTTTTCCAAATAATATGAAATCCCACAAAAACATTTTTATCTAAAATGTTGCCAACACCATATGACTCGTATGTCAATAAGTATTCAGTTATTATATAAAGCCAAGCTTCTGACTCTGAAAGCCTTACTCAAAACATGTGGCTTGGCTGTTTTGCTACCATTACATATGCGTAAGGTTACTACTGTACTGTTAATTACTTTTCTACTACAAGTAGTAGTTCTAGTAGAGACGATTTTTATTCATTAATAAATTGTTTAAAACATCTAAAAACAGAGACAAGCTCTTGTATGATATCAAAAATTAGGTATTTGGTAATTAGGTAAATTTGATATACAGACAGGGTATTAGCTGACTTAGATAATAGGATAGGACTTTTTATCCCCCTAAACATTTACCTAGAGAATCTATTAATACATAAAGTAAAGCCCTTTAAATACCACAATACCCAGTCTCGGGAAATTATAAATAGAAATACATTTTCTACATTGACCAGGAATCGAACCTGTGACCAGATATGTCAGTAGCTTACTGTCAGTACACTCGACCACAAAGGTCACTAAACGTATTTCTATTTTATATTTAATAGTGTTATACGAATATAACATCACAATAACAAGTAGACGCTTCAACTAAAACCTAACAAGAAAAATATGATTTGCAAAAATAAGGATCCAAACCCTTCATTTTGCTGCACGTAATACGGTATGAGTGTTAGAATGGGTACATGAAAAGAAATTCCCGGTCCAGGAATTTGGCGGGCAAAATGACAGCTGTCAAACGGATATTAAACATGAAGTGGGCCTTTACAAAATGGCCGATGTTGACTGATTGGATTGGGGGCGTGTTTGCATTTTTTTAATGTCGAAAAGCCTTTTAGGGTCCGTTGAGTTGCTTCATTTTTGTTATTTACTTTCAAATAAACTCTAGAACTAACATATTAGTAACATTTATGCATTACTTAAAACTTACTTAACCGAACTAACATCAATCTAACGATAAAAATAATGAAGATTAATTTAAGAAAATTTATTTCATAAACTCACTTGTACCTTCAATACTATATCCTTTTCAATTCCCATTTGATTATTTTCCAAGTTTCGAACGAGAATGTTCCTTTAGATTTCCAGACTTTCCAATAGATACTTTTGCTCATAAGTCTGTTCTTCTACATTGCTATTTCAATATACTAAGATTTCAAGAAAATATACTCTATTGTTTTTAAATAATATGTATTTTTGTTTGTCGACAGGTGAATGGCGGGGCGAGCGAAGAATGTTGGATATCACTCGTGACAAGCCAGTAAAAGTTTGCGTACGAGTCGTTGTGCCAGTACGCGACCATCCTAAGGTAAAGAGGAGAATATAAAATAATATTTTTTTATAAATACACTAGCTTTCCGCCAGCTATTTTCCGCCAGTATGATAGTGAGAAGAAAGAAGTGATGCAAACGAGATTGATAGTGTCTTTAAGCCAAAAGTTTTTTTTTTCTCCTTGCATAGTTTGATTATTAAAGTTTTATTATTATTATTGAAATACAAAAATAACTAGCAATTTCATAAGTACATTTATAATTATTTTAAGTTTAATGACTTACTTTTGATAATAAAGTATGTATATCCTTGTTATTACTGTAGTTTTTATGTTTATTTTGAATCCGTGTGGAACGAATTTTATGAATTTTATGTAAACATATGAAAAAATATGTTTGGACTTACGTCGTTTCGCTTTACGTCGCGTATTTCGAGAACCTAACACCCCATAAGTATGAGGACTGCCTGTATATATAAACCTTCCTCTTCAATCACGCTGTATATTAATAAAAACCGCATTAAAATCAGTTGTGTAGAAGATCTAAGCGGACAGACAGACATACACATAGAAGCAGCAAACCATCTGCTTGATACTTATTATATAAGTCTTTAGAAACATTTTTCACTGTTATATCAATTCGTCAGTTGATAGAACAACCTAATGATCCCATATGGGACCCGGGTCGCAAGATACAAAGATGCTGCCATATTTCAGGGGCCACATCAACCCTCTTGTTAGACGAAATGGAGACGGCTCACACGTGCTTGTAATTTTTTTCCTTTTATACTCTTGGAGATAGAGTGGCGATGTGAATGTCTAATACAGTCAGAAAATTGTATGTTTGCGTAACCATCGGCGTCTTTATATCCCCAGTTTTTCTCCAATGCTATTGTTGGTGTTGATAATTGCAATTGTAACTGTGTCTAAAAACCAAACATGCTTGTACAAAAACTGATATAAATGTATGCCTGCACCCTTTTGATTGAATTATCTAGAATTAAGATAAAATTGAAAAGTTCGTAATAACGTATAAATACATTGAAATAACAAGCAACGTTATTTTAATCAGTCCTGAAAATAAACGAAACTATAGTATTGCCAGACATGGAATTTAGACCCATTCGCCACTAAAATACTCCAAATATACATAAAGTTTTATAATAGTTCAATAAAAACAAAAAATACGGTCACTGTATAAGTTTTGTTTAACAATTATTCAATTTTTACAACTGATAAGATTGACAGCTGGTTTAATTATGAAAATTAATCGTTATAAAAATGCTATCATGTTGTTCTATTTTTTCATAGCTTACTTTAAACATCGAAATTTAAATTTAAATTCACAATCGAAGGTTTCCGTACCGAAAACGATCAAAAAACATGTTTGTTGCATAGGAGCCCCCGTAAATATTCATCTAATACTTTTTTTTAGTACTTTTTGCTATGGTAGCAGCAGATAACATCATCTGTGATCAATTTCAACTGTCTAGCTATCACGGATAGACGGACAGACAGACAAACAACGGAGTCTTATTAATAATCTCCATTTTTTTCCTGACAATTGAAAGAGTCAGTAATGATTTCGGGAATATTTTTTATTCTAAATAAAATATTAATGATTTTATTTAAATTAATTGTTATATTTATTTTTGACTCCATTCTCTTGGACTATAAATTCTTTCTCATGTATATGAAAGTGTAGTAGAAATTTGTCAAGCTTCAGAAGCATCTTATTGCAAGAGTGATATTCGATCTCGATCTTGTTCGATTGTTATCATTAGTGATGAGTGTTATGTATGATCTCATATTTGGTTTCAATAAGTTCAATTCATCGTTCAAAATGTCCCTGTGTTATCGTTAAATTATTACGACAATGATACCAATTGTATTGTAATCTTATGGATGGATAAGGAAGATGGACCATGACCATCCACGCTGGCCCAATGCAGATTGGAGGGTATTAACGATTGCGAATGCAGGCGGGACAACTTACATGCGCTTCCGAAGCACGGAATAGCTTGAGATAATCATTTTTTGATCACCTTGATAAAAGTTGCAACATTCTCTTAATGAAACTAAACTTAACTGAACTGAAAACTAAACTAGCGATAACCGGCTGTAACAGAAACTTCAAGACTGCAAATTTTATGCTGACACAAAAATCTTTGTACCGCCTCACACAGCATTTGTATATGGATGTGAATGTGTTATTGGTGGATATTAATGACTGCAAGTGCAGCGGGGACCATCAAAATCAAAATACAGAGAAGCTCGATAGTAATTTTTGGTCATCCATCCTATGTCTGGCCTTTGTGAAAGTTGCTTAACTTTCGTATCGCCTACTGAACACACTAACCAATGCGCCTCCTTTGTGTCACTCATCATTGAGCTTCGATAAATATAAAAAATATAAAACAATTCACTTTTCCTTTACATAGTTAAACAGAATCACTGCTTACATTTCGAGGTCAATTTCGAGAAAATTTCATTAAAATCTAACGTTTTAGCTCATCGAGCTACATATCGTGCTACGACGTAGCATCTGCTCGAGGTCGTAGCACGACGCTGAATGCTATTAACTGCTTTTCCTAACTCGCTCGCTATATAATATTCAGAAAGGACTACTAGATTGAAATAACTTCACTCTAATAATGATAAAATATGCAATATTTCTGCTTTAGAATGAAATGTAAGATAAGAATTAAATTACATTTAAAATAGTTCGTGTGACCTATTAAATGATTATTAAAATAATGTTCTTAACAAAAAATGCTTGAAAATCTACTTTGCCCGTGGCACTCTGGGGCTCAAACCCATGACCTTACACAATCTAGGCGACCGCTCTAACCGCTGAGCTAGCCCTAACTTAACAATACAGAATTTTTCAAGCACTTCTTACTTTTTCGCTACTACCTAAATAGCACCACCATCCAAATAGCAGAAAGAAATATTTTTACAAATGTTTAAACTTCTGCGAAAAATTCGAGATCCATCTCAGAGTGCCCAGGCAAAGTGAATTTTTAAACAATTTTCACTGAGAATATTTTTCAGTATAGATATTATTATCAAATATAATAATTATTAAAAATAATTTTAATAATCAGTGACACTTAATTTCATGTATAATTGGAGTCTGTTCAATTTGCAGTGCTCGATTACGGCTCGTACAATCATGCATACATTCATTCTTTTTAACTTCAAAAATAGGTCTGTAGTTAGTTCTTAGCGAATTAAGGGTAATTAGATATAATATATAACGTGGTTCTTATACAATAATATTTGCACCGCATGCTTTTTCCGAATACCGTAAAAGGGTTATGCCATTGCTACTTCTTCCTATTCTTAGTCCTTAGATGATATAATTTACATTAAATCTTTTAATAAATTTATTTTTTCATTATCGGTTTAAATTTTATGATTTATCTTTAAATTGAGTTTAAATAAATAAGCAGAAAGTTTTCATTTACAGATATGCCGATTGTATATTACAATTTTCGCGTTATCACATTAATCTTGTTATAACAAAATTCTGTCATCAAATATTTGATTTGAGCCCTGACTCCTTATTGATATAACAAAGATATATCCATTTCAAATGAAGACAAATCTTTAGAAGGCTTTTCAGGAACTCTTTAGTACTCGAGTCAACATGATAACATCCCGTAGAGCCATATTTGTGGAGCCCTCGAGCCTCCATGATGCAGTCCTTTAACTGAAGTATATGTATACTTATGAAATTACATGCCAACCATAAGAACTTATGTAATTTATTATATGGTAAAAGTCTTTCTTCATTTGCCATCAAATACTTAATATGACAACCTATAATTTATTATCACTTATTACAACACCTTCATTTTAATACAAAATAATAAAAATTATCAAAGACATGGCTGTAGGAACATGCCTTTTCAATGTAGGAAAAACATAAAATCACGAGTTACCCGTGCCATATTATTTAAAAAATATATGTAAAAGTTAAATATAATATACAGTGTGGCAACTTCTCATAATTATATACACAACCTTAACAAAGATTTGCCATTGTTGAGCATTAACTTAACTCCAAATTGGGATCGCAATTATTTAAGTTCCTGCTAAACTTTCAACTCTTGACACAGATCAATTTTAGGGTTACCGTTTCGATCAGATTTGGTTATAATTTGAAGAGCGAACGTTTTAATTGAGGGTTATTTTTTGCGATACCATTATACAAAGATCAAGCAGATCGAGTTACAGCAATATGTCAAATTAACACAATTAATTTATAACTAAAAAAAATTGACACACTTGTATTGATGTGTTATTGACTATACGATACAGCCATATTATTAAGTTACAATAATATAATGTACCATTCTTAAATAAAATTTTAGTTTTTATAGTTAGGTATGTATGATCTGATGGATACATTTTTTTTTATTCTTTTTTTTATGGGCTAACTGATGGATACATGAAAATTTCCCATCTGTTACTTCATTGTGACAAAGTTTATAACTTAGATAACATATAATCTTTTATAAATAATCAAATAACATCTGGGGGGAGGCTGGCCTTCTGAGGCATATCGACCTTCGGGGGGGAGGGGGCTTCCACAATAAGGGCTCTACCTGAGTGGATCCTCCCGATCAGGACTGGATAGGGGACTGGAGATTGCACATTTGCGCATCTCCAGTCTCTAGTCGGGGGCAGCTCGACCAGTTTGCGCGCTGCTCGGGCATTGCACGCCTCCGCCTCGTCTGGGAGGTGCGTCTCGAATGTCTCTGAGATGTACCCCCAACGGGTGGCGGGACCTGCCCTTTTCAGGGCGGGCCGAAATGGGGGCGAACCGCGCGGTGTATGGCCTCCGGACCGATCCCGTGCATCGACTTCCATGCGAAGGATATCGCTGGGCTTAAGTGTTAGTGGATATACCCCTGCTCTTTGACTAGCCCCATTCTGGGGTTCTAGTAATGCATTTCCCAGCAAAAAAAAAGTGAAGATATTTTACCTTCTTAGTCGAGAGAAGTAATTAATTACTTGAAAATATATCATAA